TTCCTCTGGCACTGATGGGCTTTCAGCCATAAACCAGGGGCCCAAGAAGTTCACCCATAGCAGGTGCAGGGCACGGGCCGGGGCCTGACACACACACACACACACACACACACAGGACGAAGATCAAATTATCAGACATAAGGAAAACAATTAAGCAGAAAAATATCAGCTATCTCATAAGAGTTATCAAGGGAACCAGACATAGAACAACATGTAGAAAAGCTCATACCAGCAGCCAGAGGTACCAGAAATAAGAGGAGATTATGCTGAGCACTTGAACTATGGCTGTGAGCAGGATGACGTCCTTCAGGTGCCTAGAACCAGAACACAAAAACACACAGGTTAGAAATTGTCGCTGGTGCACACAGCGGCAGCTCAACATCAAGTGTCTCTGTTGAGTTTGATTAACTGTGGTTTATTTCACCAGAGACACTTTTAGATTAAACAAGAAAATGATGTATGACAGTTAAAGGTCCAGTGTGTAACATTTAGGTGAGAGGGAACTATTGGCAGAAATTTACTGTAGAATAATCCTCATGATGTTTTCACTAGTTTGTTTCATCTAAACTGTATGAATTGTAGTTTTCTTTACACCAGAAAAGGCCCTTTATATTTAAATACATTAGTCCAGACTGGACAAACTAAACACCTTTTGAGTTTTTATGAAAACTGAAGCTGCCACAGGTTCTCTTTCCTGTTTGGAAGGAGAGGGTGAGGTGAGGGGTGTTCAGCTGTAACATGAAACTTCAACACTAGATATCACTAAATTCTACACACTGTACCTTTAAAATAGTCTTTGTGCCTTTTATAAAACTGAATAAGGAGAAACGAGGATAAAACATTTTCTTACACAAAAAACTCAAAACACAAGATTTAACACAGAAATAAGATTAAACACATGCGGATTAAACATACAAATAAAATAAAGGTTAACTTAATAACAGAAAAATATTACACACACATATATAGAGTAAAGGTGCAGGTAAATTATTGCCACAGGATGTAAAGTATATTGTGCATTTGAGTTCGAGTTCACTGATGTTTGTGTTCACCAAAGTGCAGACAGTCAGACTGGTGGGAATTTAATGAATTACAATGAAACACTGCCATCATACTATGCTCTTCTGGTAACCATATACAGAATTAATAAATACAGAATAACGAGATCCTGAGACTAAAATATTTTTCTTCTCACAATAAATTCTCGTTATAGGAACACTGTCCCTGGTTGCCTTAGCACTGACTGATGCAGATTTTTACATTTAACATTGTCACATCCAAATGAATATATAAATTTGATTTTTTTTTGCAGTGGAGGAGGGTGAGTGGTGTTTTGTCTGCAGAGCTTCCTGTCTGCAACATGTTTCATCAATCAGAGGGTTAGGACAGACTGAATGTAGCCTGATAGGTGAAACCCAGGGCAAAACAAATCCACCAGCCGCTCACGATTACTCACAAGACGTATCATTGCTGTGAGAGCAAAGTAACATCTGACAGCGACATCAATACTTAATGTATGTACACTAAAAATCTGTTTTTCTTTTCCAGACAAACCACCTTCACAGTGACCCTTTGCATCTTGTGTTCTGCATCCACAAACCTCTCACTTTAGTGCCCCCCCCCCCCCCCCCAGGATAAACAACAACATGCAAAAAGAATCCTGTCTGTAATGTGGAGTTTACTTACTCTGCCATTCCCTGCTCCATGTTTAGGTCTATTCCTCCGTCCAGTAGACTTCCATCCTCAGCAAACACTGGCTTGGCCATCGCAGACATGGAGCGGTAACTCCCAACATATACGGCGAGTGCAAACATGAACAGCAGCTACAGGAGCAATACAAGGTTTAGGGCCAGGACGGACACTCGCATGAGATTTGTGAATATTAGGATTTTAAATTGTCTTGATCAAACAGACTCACCCATGTTGAAAATGTAGATGAACTGTAGAAAACCAAAAGATTTACGGTAGTATATATTGCCTACGGTGAGGAGCAGAATAGAATAAAAAGAGCTTCAGCCACTAGTCAAATCATCAATTTATCGATCAACCGAAGAGTTAGTGTCAGCTATTTTATTAATTGATCAGTTTGTGTTGGATCAAACCTGATCCAGTGAGAACAAGGACAGAAACAGAGAATAGTTCTCAGTGAAGTAAAGAAGATGTTATGAAATGTCACTGATGCTTTCCTCTTCACTGAGCAAACAACACAACACTGGGCTTCTTACATTAGCTCCGAGGATGATTCTAATGTAGAACTTCAGAGTCGCCTCGTTCTCCTCGTAGATCTGCTTCTTTCCCTTCGTGCCAACTTTACCTTTGGGCTGTTGAACAAAACACAAAAAGCAGGTTCAACAATATTCGTGTGTTCTTCAATCCCAACCACTGACAGCAGTAAGATATCTTTCAGACATGCTCTTCTTCTGGTTCTTGACCAGACCTCCTGCTTTCTGATGGGGGGACATTTTTATAAATATCAATAACTCTTCACTTGTGTGAATTTTGTGTCTTCAAGGGATTCGATTTCTAGAGCCAATTAGAAATAAAAACCTAAATCATTAAGCAGCATTCATGTAACTTTGGAAATAAAATCAAAGTGATACCTTTTAATTATAGATCAATACCAGAAAAATCACCAAAGTTGTTTCGTTATTCGTCTTTTTACCCTTATCTACATTCAGGCAGTTCAAAAATAGAACACATCCACTGCCACAATAATTCTTCTTCAATTCAATAAGGGAATTATTGCCAGCTAAAATCAATGCAACTGCCATTTTTGTGTTTTCACAAATGATTAGGTGGGTTTCAAACAGAGGTTAATATGATGTCTCACCCACTGTCAGTCATTGTGTTACCTGCTGAATCACAAGGTTATTTCAGAATGTTGGACAGGAAGAAGGACTACACCATTAATACACTGAAATGAAATGAAGCTGAAGTACATGTATTCCTTTATTTTGAAGGGAACTGAACTTTTCAAGACTTCTTCATGGCCTCATCTGCTTCACTGAGACGACACCAGTGTTCCTAGAAGTTGTTAAAATATTATGTGGACCCATCAGGCTTATTGTAACTGAGACTGATCTTTATGAATTCATCTGTCGGTGTAGGAACGAATGGAGAACAGGACTACAGGCGAATAGAGAACAGGACTACAG